GGGGCACTATGGGGCACTATCAAAAAACACCAAAAATCAACAAATTTGCAAAAAACAAGCTGTGGCACTATGGGGCACTATGGGGCACTATCAGAAACACCAAAAATCATCAAAATTGCAAAAACTGCAAAAACAAGCTGTGGCACTATGGGGCACTATGGGGGCACTATCAAAAAACACCAAAAATCAACAAAATTGCAAAAAACAAGCTGTGGCACTATGGGGCACTATGGGGCACTATCAAAACACCAAAAATCATCAAAATTGCAAAAACTGCAAAAACAAGCTGTGGCACTATGGGGCACTATGGGGCACTATGGGGCACTATCAAAAAACACCAAAAATCAACAAATTTGCAAAAAACAAGCTGTGGCACTATGGGGCACTATGGGGCACTATCAGAAACACCAAAAATCATCAAATTGCAAAAACTGCAAAAACAAGCTGTGGCACTATGGGGCACTATGGGACACTATGGAGCACTATCAAAAAACACCAAAAATCAACAAATTTGCAAAAAAACAAGCTGTGGCACTATGGGGCACTATGGGGCATTATCAAAAAAACAACAAAAAACATCAAAATTGCAAAAACTGCAAAAACTGCAAAAACAAGCTGTGGCACTATGGGGCACTATGGGGCACTATGGGGCACTATCAAAAAACACCAAAAATCAACAAATTTGCAAAAAACAAGCTGTGGCACTATGGGGCACTATGGGGCACTATCAGAAACACCAAAAATCATCAAAATTGCAAAAACTGCAAAAACAAGCTGTGGCACTATGGGGCACTATGGGGCACTATCAAAAAACACCAAAAATCAACAAATTTGCAAACAAGCTGTGGCACTATGGGGCACTATGGGACACTATCAAAAAACACCAAAAATCATCAGAATTGCAAAAACTGCAAAAACAAGGTGTGGCACTATGGGGCACTATGGGGCACTATGGGGCACTATCAAAAAACACTCAAAATCAACAAAATTGCAAAAAACAAGCTGTGGCACTATGGGGCACTATGGGGCACTATGGGGCACTATCAGAAACACACAAAATCATCAGAATTGCAAAAACTGCAAAAACAAGCTGTGGCACTATGGGGCACTATGGGGCAGTGGCACTATCAAAAAAAACACCAAAAATCAACAAATTTGCAAAAAACAAGCTGTGGCACTATGGGGCACTATGGGGCACTATCAGAAACACACAAAATCATCAGAATTGCAAAAACTGCAAAAACAAGCTGTGGCACTATGGGGCACTATGGGGCACTATCAAAAAACACCAAAAATCAACAAATTTGCAAAAAACAAGCTGTGGCACTATGGGGCACTATGGGGCACTATGGAGCACTATCACAAAACACAAAAATTCAATAAAAACAAAAAAAATACAAGATTTGCAAATTTTGCAAAAACTTAAAAAATATATTTGCAAGTTTTGCAAAAAATGCAGATATTGCAAAAATTTGCCCAAAAGAACATTTACCAAAAAACATTGAAAAAAACAAAAATGCAATATTTGCAAAAGCAAGCACTTCATTTGATATATATATATAGTATATAATATATATATATATATGATTTATAGTATATTTTATTTTATTTTTTATTATTGATATATATATATAGTTTTTATTGATACTATAATATATTGTATTCAGCAGCCATGCTCACTCCGTGCATTGAGGTTGGAAACTGGGCTTCTTCACCAATTTGTGAATTCGGCCTTCGATACTTCATCATGGAACCTGCCGATCCGATGGATGTCATTCCTCCTTCTGAGGTGGCACCTTCTCAAGTAGGAGAAGGAGATCAACAGGATGTTTTAGATGCGGACGTTGCGGGGGGAGTTCGCCTGGGCCATCAGGGTGGTCAGCCCAACCAAGTTCAAGGCCAAGGGCCTATGGTACCTGGTAGCTTGCCAGTGATCGGCAACGTCATGCTCACCCCCGCGGGTATCAGGTCAATTTTGGGGAGGAAAATCCGGCCAAAGCCGTTGCTTCGCTTGGTTTGCAAGGGTTGCCAGGTAACAACACATGATACAGACCCTTTGGTTCCTGGAGACTTTGTAGAGCGGCTCGGCTTGTCAGCTGTTCTCTTGATTTCACATGCAAGGAAAAGGGTTCTCAAATCTTAAGATTAAAGCGACTATTGATTTCAAAGCAAAATAGTTGTGGAGTTGTTGAATGTTGCTACTTTGTTGTGACAAGAACTCTTGGGCCTTTGTCAAGGCAGCTTCAACTAGTCAACTAGTCGAGTTTTGTTAGCTATTGGCTGACTTCCAAACGGCATGATAGTGATAGTGATCCAGTGATCAGTGATAATGATTTGTAATTTTGATGTTATGATTTGTAATTTTGTGGTTCGATGACATTTATGTACGACTGTGACTTCTTACTGACTGTGACTCTGACGGTGACGGTCTCTCTTGCCCTGGCTCTACTTGCTAACTTAGGTGGGCAGCGGGGAGTTACAAATTGACCAAGAAAATGTCCGAGATTGGCATCACCACGGAACAGCCCACAGGCAGGACTGGTTGGACTGGTGTGTATCGCAATGGGTTTGCAAAGGCAAAACGTGGAGTGGCTTCCTTGTGGCATGTGCAAAGCCTGCTACAACATTCACTTACTTACTGACAGCTTGTTTGCCGTTCGCTGCTTGTCCTTGATCTGATAAGCCGATAAGCTAAGAAATATCCAGTTCAAGTTCAAGTATTCAAGAATTCAGAACAGAACAGTGACAATGACATTTATGATATATATTATATAATTATATATATATGATATATGATATATGATGGCTATGGTATTAATTATTTATAGGACATAGTCTAGAGTCGTCTAGAGTCTAGAGATGATCCATGATCAACAATTTTGGTTTTCGGTCTTCTATCTTGAGTCTGTGTCTACAGAGTGTCAGGCCTCTTGTGTCGCATCTGCGCTGACTGTGGGCGACGCGGTTGGCCCGGCTCAAAGAAGGATAAGTTCATGGAGAATTTGGAGGAGGGTGACTTCCGTGAGAAGGAGTTTTTGCCAGGTTCACAACTCAGACTGAGATTCAGACTCAGATTCAGATCTGCTAATCTGCTGCTGTGAGTTGTTTGAAATCGGTTGGCGTTTGGCTATATAATATATTATTATGAATCATGTCTCAAGTTCAACTAGTTAAGTTTCAGTTCCACCGGTGGCTGTGGCTTTGCCCATACCGTCATGATACTGCAACTGATACTGTGACTGTGTAACTGTATACTTGTACCCACAGTCACTGACACGGACTCTGAAGCCTGAACTCTGATTCTTACTCTCTAGGCTCTAGACTCGACTCTTTTGCTGATGTGGATGTGGGATGTTTCACTGTCTCAGAATGTTTTGTTTTTTTGTCACGAGCCTCTGACCTGAGTCCGAGCTGTCTACATGGATGAAGTGAATGAGAAGATTACGACAGGGAGGGCTCGGGTGAAAAAGCGAAACAGAACCGTGAACAAGGTCAGCCTGATGAGCGTAAGGAATTCGATGAAGGGAACCTTTGTCTCGTTGGACCAGTACGCCCAAGACCGACTGTGGTTGTGGAGTTGTGGATGTTTTATTTTGGGCTTTTTAAGTCAGACAGTCTGACTGTCATGTCATTGTCACAGTCATGGCACAGACATACTGTATGGCCGTATGGCTGTATGACAAACTTGTCGACATAGACATTGACATGGATGTCGTAGAACATGACCTTTCAATGCAATGGTCATAGTTAATGTTTTTTGGTTTTGATTGGGGCTGAAAGATTGATGAGATGATTCAATGACGATGATGTGATGACTTGCATGTGATATCATCTTCTGTTTCTGTTAGCGACTATGAACTAATCTAATCTGATCTAAGAATCTAATAATTAATATTTTCATATAACTATGACTCCTATGACTCCTATGATTATAATTATAGTTGACAATAATCAAATAATCAAATCATATTCTTCTCACTATCAGTCAATCAATCAGTCAATCAATCTAGATTTATAGATCATCTAGCTAGCCTGGCTTGGTCGCCAGGATTTTGGTGACGTCAACACCAATGGCCTGGGGCATCGAGTCACCACAACTGTAGACCCTGTGACGCAGCAGAAATGCCAGGCGGTCTTTATCCCAAAGTTAAAAAAGGGGTATTGGCAGGGATCAATCAGCAATGATCAACAGATCGGGGATTGTTCGGTACTCGACGACGACATCGATGCGTTAAGACGCGACCAGTTGCCTCTTGGCTGCATTCAACTCAGTATTACTATACTGACTGAGTGACTGGCTCGATCAGACTGGCCTAGGTACTCCTTGAATTTGACAATTTGATTTTCAAATTTCATTGTTCAAGTGCACAATAATAACGATAACTTAACTTAACTATGACTAGGACGACTAGTCTATAAGTTAACTTTGATTCTGCAACAGCTTGCTAGCCCTAGCTAACTGCACTGCATTCTTAGCGGACTGCCGTACTCCAGCAGCTCTTGAGGCTTACCACCTCTCATCTCATCAAATTCTAAATTCTAATTCAAATTCTGATCATGATCAGAATCAGAATCATATTTTTTTTCTGCTCAACATCGTCGGCATTCAGCAGCCAAGGGACAACTCCTTCGCGGAGCAGCAACAGATGGCGCTGCAACAGGCGGCAGCATCCAACACGGGCCTTTCCATGGAAGAGGCCCTTGCAAAGATGAGACAGGATGAAGAAGGCCGCAGCAGCAATATCATATCAGTTATCAATGATCAAGTTTTCAGATTGATTGTCAGTGTACAGTACAGTGTAAATTATGTCACTGACTGTTTATTAACTTCAATGCTGACAATCAGTGAGGTTACTGTAGACCTCTGGTGTTTTGTGTGCTCGGTATAGCTTGTAATTTGTTTTTTCTTGAAACTTGCCATGCTCACATGATCACTTCACGACCGTTGTAGCAACACCGTGATTACTAATTACTGACATTTTTTTAACCGCATTCTTCAAATGCTATTAGTGCCCAAGTCCAAATGCTCTCTGTTCCGGCAAGACAAGAAGAAGAAGAGCGATGCCGAATCAGAAGATGAGAAGGAAGACTCCAAGGCAAAAAAGGCAAAGAAGAGCACTGAACAAGATGCAGCTGAGGACATCAATGAAGAGGATGAGCTGTTGTATATGCAAGCCATGGACATGGAGGAAGGCAATTGCAATGATATGGACGATGCAGTATCGCATGATGAGAGAAACAGCACTTGTGGTGATGCAAAGCCCATGGTAACATCATCAGTGCCGGCACCAGCGTGCACAAAGAGGTCCAGCGCAGCAACAGCTACTGATTCTGATTTGCACCAGCCAAAGCAAAAGATTCAGAAGACCAGCCTGCAAGTGGCTTTGAAGTCATCGCCGCAAAAGAAGGGTCAGAAGGCTACACCACCTGCACCAGGGCCGGCCTCACAGGCAAAGGCTGCAGCACCAGGCGCAACTTCTTCTCAGCATCCAGCTGCAGCTCCACCCCTACCCAGTGCAGGTGCCAGCTCTGCTCCTGCCACAAGGCATGTGACGCCTGCCAGCCCTCCGCCAACAAAGGTGGATGCCACCACTGGTATTGAATTGGTCTCTCGCAAGCATTGGTCTCAGTGCCAGCCATTCAAAGCGGATGATTTTGCATCAACTGCTGCTGGATCGCCATTGGCCATGCCGACCAAGTACAGCAAGGACACGCAGAAAGCCAAGTGGACGGCAGAAGTCACAAAGATCAAGCCGTTCATTTGCACTCTGGAGCGAATGCTGTCGTCAGATGGAGGAAAAGTCAAAGACACAGAGCTTAAGAATGCTGTCAAAGCCTTTCAGAAGATCAATTCCAGGGTCGACAAAAGGTTGGAGTTTGAGCCAGCAGCAGCCACTGCGCAAGAGCCTACCTTCAGTGCAAGGATCATGGCTCTCAAAGATATGTTCGAAGCGGTGAAGTCTTTGAAGGAGACAGCCATCTCTTCTGGTAAGTCGGGATCGATTGCCGAGGATATTTTGAAAACCGCCATTGAGAGGATCAATGCTTCCGTGGAGAAATTGGTTGCAGACACGTGGATTGGTTATCCGCTGCATTGGGTTCAGGCACCACATTGGGATTGGGTCTGGAGTCTGGACTCAGGAGTTTGTTTGTGTTTCTCTTCCTCTCTCTCTGTCTCGCTGTCTCTCTGTATATCTGTTTCTTAATATGTTCTGTCATTCTGTCTGTTCGTTTGTCTGAGTCTGAGTCTTTCTATTTATTAAATTATTACCTTACTATTCTTGTTTTCATATTTTCATTGTCTCAATGGGTGATTTGCTGCTTCATGATCTGAAAGCCAACCAATGCCTCCTGTGAATTTGATGAATGGATCTGGATGTGTCAGGCTTGGGTCACTGCTGCAGTGAAGCCCAAAGTTGAAGATTGTGCAGTGATGGATGCAAGTGCTGGAGCGAAGCTGCATCAAATCTTGTTTTTTCCGCCACCGCCTGAAGATCCTCAGACAGAGGTTCCGTCCATCGACAACGCGTACCTTGTTAGCATTTAATCAATCTGCCAGCCGGGCAGCCTAGCCTACAGCAGGGCGGGGTGTAGAGACTAACTGTCCGAACATTGACATTGAATTGGAAGTTTGTACACTTGACTGACCGACCAGTGATAGGGGTGGTCAACCTTCTTAACTTAAAGTCAACAGTCCAGTCAAGTCAAATTATGGATTTTTCTTCTATGACATGATATGCTGCTATTCAGTTTGTCAGTTGTCAGGTATGGCCGCATATCAGACTTTATTTCTTTTGCCCTGGCTCTTTGACCGTGGCATCGCAGGTGGAGAAGGCTTGTTCGTCGCGGTTGGCTGGTTTAGTTGGTTAGCTTTAAAATCATAGGGAAGAAGAGATATGAGATAGGAGACACAGTCAGAGACAGACTACCTGCGATATTGTGTGTGCCAGCTTTGGACTTGTCATGTGGCTTGCTGCACAGGTTCTGAAAATGCAGAGCAAGTGGATTCTGCAGACTTTGCTTCGCATCTTGGGCTCCCCAACATTTGATGCGGCAGTTACCTCTCTACAGGCATTCTTGCCCAAGTCAATGGTTCATTTTGAGGAAGCGGTCTTGTCTCCTTCTTTAGCTGCAGCTTTGAAGGTTTGGCACGGCTTGGTGCATTCATTGAAAGGCGACAGAGTGGCAGACTTGGAGAACATCTTGCAAACTGCATCTGCTGTGGTGATATCCAAGACGATACAGGTCTACCACAAGCCAATCACCCGTGTTTCCTCAATGACCCACTACAAACGGATTCTCAAAGAATGTCACGAGCTACTTGTGAAAGAGAAGCTTGACAAAGAGGCGACCCAGAAAGCCAATGAGTTGCAAGGGCTCATTGATCGCCTGTCTCCCATGGACTCTGAGCTGGCAGAAGCTAGTGGCTTTTGCTTCGACAAGGTTGAGGTAGCTCTGAAGGACGGGTTTGGCGGTTTGGCTCAACTGCATCCATTATCGGATCGTAAAGTACTACTAAGACTAGGACTAGTACTACTACTAGCTACATCGCAGCATCATTGGTCATGACGCGACGGATGTGAACGAACCACTGCCACTTAGACTTAGGCTTAGACGGCTTAGGCCTAGGCTTAGACTGGACTCTGAGACTCAGACTCAGACTATATAGATTGGAATTGGACTGGACAGTCAGACACTCAGATAGACAGACAGACAGACAGGACAGGACAGTTTCCTGTGTAAGAGTTATTCAGCACGGCACTGCGCACTTTGTTCGCCGTGAAGGACTGCATTCTGTTGAAGGAGACAGCTTGCTTGCTACCTTCTGACCCGGAAAGTTCACACGGAGAAACCAAGGATGCAGCCTTGACATTGTTCAGTACTTTGTCTTCCAGGATTGGGCAGTACACGGTCAATGGCATTTTGACAGCACTGTCAAGCCCAGATTTGAAGGCTTCAACTTCAGATTCGAATGGTGGCAGTGGTGTGTCAATCCCAATGCCGTTCATGAAGCTTCGCGATTTTGTCCACGGAAATTGTGATCTTAGTATGATGGCTGGCAGAGTCAACCCCAAGGCATGCGGTGCCAAACTTATGCAGTTCTTGCCCTTCAGTGAGAGGTCTTTCCTGGTCTATGTGGCTGATTTCGTAGAGGCTTTGATTCATAACGGAAAACTGCCCCGAGAGGAAGAGGATGTCCTATTCCCGTTTGCTGATGAGCTTAGATACCTTTCTTTTGTCTATGCAGTCTTTGACACCAATCGATGTCCCATTGCAGATGTGGTCACAGCCACAGAGGAGATTCGGTTACTTGGCATTTGCATGCATTTGCTTTGCATATGCATTTTGCAAACAGCATAGTGGAACTTTCAGTTCAAACAAACTAGTGAAACAGTTCAAAGTTTTCAAAGTTCAAACCAAGACATTTCTTCAAAATTTCCATTTAAATGTTCATGATATTCATAGTTTCATAAACTGTTAATTTAATATAATGAATGTCAATATGACTACTATAGACTACTATGACAATGACAATGACTCATGACTATCAGTCTATCAGGTTGCTCTTGGGGACTTCAGCAAAGCGTGTTGCTATGACAATCCTGTCGCACCTGGACGGCGGCAAAGTGAGTGAGTCTGACTTGGACACCCTTGGCAGCCTCCACATCCAGATCAAGCCGTGGTTGGACCTCAACGATGCTGATGTTCAGCGCAAATTCAACACCTTCCTGAACAGGAAGAATTCTTCATGGGGAACAGAGATGACTGGTCCTGCAGAAGCTCTTTGTGAAGCAGTGGTGAGCTTGCAGAGCTTGATTGGTGTGAAAGGGGCTTTGCTGGATACTACGCTTTCGGCTTGTTCCATTGAAAAGATGCAGGAAATTTCTGCAGGATTGACTACTTTGGGAAGTGCCTTTAGGGAATGTGATGGCAAGTTTACAGCTTGGCAAAAAACCGTCGATGAGTCCACACAGTTGAGTGACACGATCAAGGGCCTGGCGGAAGAGGCTGATTTGCTGCTGAGTAGAGGGAAGATCATTTTGGCATGCCAATCAGGCTTCTTGTCAGCAGTGTGGAAAGCTCAAGGTGAACTTACAAATTGATACAAATTGTTGATTTTTTGTTGTTGTTGTTGCTTCTTGTATTTAGCCTGAAGTTCTGAAGTCACAGTCTGAGTGAGTCTGAACCATGATCGCAGCACCTCTCTTTCACCTTTCAATCAGGGTCAAAGCTGCAGGCTTGTTGATCGTGCAGAACAAAAATGTTGACGGCGTTGTGGATTTCGTGGAGAGGCTGGTAAAGAGGGATTTGGCTTTGGACTTGCTACCACCATCTTTGCAGGCAGCCCTTTCAGAGTTGAATCCCAAAGCAGCTGGTTCTGCTGTTCCAACTGTTGGCGGAAATTGAGCTGCCACAATGGCAGCACAATGCTGCTATGATTGGAATCTTTGTCTCTGCAGAGCTCCTCTGCTGATGGTGCTGCTGTGGCATTAGTTGGAGTTTAATGCTCCTTGTGGGGGCTGCAGCAGCAGAATCCGTTCCCGGTCAGCAGAACAAGTGAGTCTGTTAGAGATGGCCCATGAGGGATTTGCATTTGCGTCATGTGCTACTTTGACATTGCCTGTGTTAGAGTTTCTGTTTGACTCAAAGTTAAAGTGTGAGATGAGAGAAGTCTCTCCTCTCACTGCTGAGACATGTCAAGTCTGTCAAGTCCAGTCAAGTCAAAGCAGAAAAGCATTTTGACCGACTGATTTTGATTTTGAGTTGAACAGCCAATGCCGACACAGACCTCATGAGTTGCACAAGGCAAGGCACCCTCCGCTTTGCAAGTTTGTAAAGGCCATTTTGGAGCTTGATCAGAATGAAGGAGTGAAGTGATGATGCAATTCCTGATGCTGATTCCGGTTCCTGTATTTTTGCAAAACCAAACCGGACCTCGCATTCAAACTAGCTGTGAGTTCTGAGTTCCGCATTTTTGCTTTCCAGATTCAGACCACGCTCCAGTGATGCATCAATAATCCATATGCAATTGGCTTCGATTCGACTGTCCACAACTGTCAGTGAAAGACTGGCCACTGCCACAGTCAACTTGCATGCAGTAGCTACATACCTAGCTAGCCGCAGCCTAGCGCCTAGCACAAGCGACCTTTAAAAAAGGACAGGTGCCAGGATTCTGGCTGGCAGACTGTGTTGGTTCTTGCTCTGCAGCTGTGTTTGATTCTCAGTTTTGATAATCGGGTAAAGATTTGGTCACTTTGGGATTCAATTTTTGGATTTTGACTCGACTCAGACTCGGATTTAATTTTCTGACTACACTGTGACTGTGACTTCTTCTTTATTTGATGGTGTGCACCCGCTGCTGTGCACAGCAAGAGTCGCCTATGAATGAACTTAGGCTGAGCCTCACTCGCTGGCCTGACTCATTCGTAATACATACTGTAACTGTAACTGTAACTGCATACTGGGACTGAGACTGCACATTGCACATTGTGCTGATGGTGAGATTTCAAATTGTCACTGCAACTGCGACTCGACTCCAATCGCACTGCAATGGGTGGAGCCACCAGCGTTGTACCAGATGGTGCTCCAGCCCAGACAGAGGCTCAATCGCCGCATGTAGAGACTCTCTACGACTGTATCTGTTTATATGACTATGACACGACTATGAATGACTATGACTGTGACTGTATATAAATATAAAACAGTTTCAGTTTAAGTTTCAGTTTAAGTATACTATAATACTATGACTATATATGATATATGACTTCCCGTTTGACTCTATGACTACGACTACGGCTTGCATTATTCTGCATGCTGCATACTGTATGACGTATGCCGTATGCCGCGTGACATTCATATAATATGAGCAATCTGAGTAATACAGTTTAGCCGTTTAGCCTAGCTTAGTCTTTAGTTTGACTGTCGACTTTGGTATTTAATTGCCTTCGGCAAGCCCGCCGGCCATAGAGAGGTGGCACCAAGGCAGTTTGATGTGCATTCTAGGTGGAAGCCCGCGAGAGAGCAGAAGAGAAAAGAAGGAGAAGAAGAATAATAAGAAGAATATAATATAATATAAGGAAGGAAGACGAAGACAAAGCCGTAAAACGGAAGCGGCTCGTCTAGCAAGGTTTGCTGTAACAACTGTATACTGTATACCGTATAACCGTATACCGACCAAATTAGTACCGCCCTCAGCAAAGTAGCGACAGGTACTATGTATGATATGAGCCTCTGGCTTGACAGCAGACCGGTGCATGGAAGGAGACAGGGGAGAGAGATTGCACCAAGGGAGGTTGACGTGCACGCTAGGTGGAAGCCTGAGAGAAGAAGAGACGAAGACATAGCCGTGGCCGTAGATCAGAAGCAGCTTGAGTAGAAAATGAGTACTGGTCGATCAGTACCGTGTGCGTCCTGTGGCGAGTACTAGGAGTAGGAGAAGGAGTAGGAGAAGGAGCTGGAGTAGGTGGAGGCGGTGGTGGTGGTTACTACTACTGCTACTACTACTACTACTAGCCTATTAGTCTACTCAGAGTCTACTCGTCTACTCTACTAGTCTACTAGTCTTATTAGTCTATTACTAGTCACTAGTCTACAAATCTACTAGTCTAATAGTACTAGTACTAGTACTAGTACTTAGCACTTGTACCAGTAACTAGTAGTACTTGTACACTAGTCACTGGTGCTAGTAGTACTTGGAAGAGAGAGGGGGGAGGGGGGTGACCTTGATTCAGACGAAGCAAAAACACGCAGCAAGAGAACAAAGGAACAAGTACAAGTGAAGAACAGAAACAAGAATAAAACCGTCGAATCAGACACGCCTGGAGGCCGGCGGATTTGTTCTTTACTCGGTATGGCTCACTGTATGACTCACCGTCAGTGATGCGACAGCAAGAGGACAATGGTCCAGCGACAGCTGTGCACCGGGAAGCTGGTGCTCTGGCTTTAGCTGACCCCCTGGAAGTGTGCACCTTAGACTCTGTGACTGCGGCGTTTTGATTCGGCAGTTGCCAAGTAAATGACATGTTATGTTTATGATATGAATCTACTGATGATATTATTTGATTATTGATTTTGCTTTCTGGACTGGAGCAGGCAGTGGGAGAAGTTAGTCTCACCGACGGAATGGAGGAGGCAGAGTAGTTGCAAAGTCATGGGCCATGTCGGCCATGTGCAAAAAAACAGCATGCAGCATGCATGCATGCGTCATACAGACCCAGACTCAGACTCAGACTTGTGACAGCGGCATCAAAGGAGCACAGACGTGGGCAAGGGTCCAGTCGCAGTGCTTGTGCTTCCGTTGTTGCTACAGCCAAGGCCAGCCGTACGTTTCGCTGTGTCAGTTTGGAAAACGCCAGCTTCAAAACACAAGGAACTTGTTGTAACTTCTTGTGCCTGGTACCGGTACCGGTACATGTTTTCATCTTGCACTTCATTGAAGGAGACAGAAGAACCAGTTCAAGATTGCAGTTGACTTGTCAATACTCAATTAGTGTTTCATTTGTAGACTACTTATAGACTTATAGATAACAGTGCAGCGCGGCAATGCAAAACATGGACCAGGCAGATGAAGAGATGACTCAGACAGAGGACTGTCTCAGAGTCTCAGTACTCTCACACACGGCTGTTTTGTCTAATTAATAGTCTATCTATGACTCTATGACTATGTCTATCATCTATCATCATCTGATCTGACTGTGACTGAATCTGAATCTGACTGATTATCTGACTATCAGACTATCTATCAGTGTTTGCGTTTGCGTGATGGTCACAGTTTTACCACCAGCAGACAGCAGACGCCAAGCCACCAAACTGGAAGGAATCAAATACCAGTACAAGTGCTGCTTTGCAGGCCGGTTCCCCTGACGATGTAGCAGCGTGTGTATCACTGCATCACTGTATCATATTATCAGTAAAAAAACAGCAGTGCCAGCAGTGCCAGCAGTGCCAGCAGTGCCTTGCAAGGTGAAGGCATGCATTCAGGCTGCCAGCAGGCCAGACGAGGAGACAGCACCACTGTGACTAGTCACCGTGTGTCATTGGTAATTCTGTCGCGCTGTAAGCAGGATACCACTTAGACTTAGACTCAGACTGCTAACTTAGATTGGACTCGACTTACTCAGACTTAGGCTCGGCTGACTGACTGTGGCTTTTGCAGTACAGTATAGTCAGGTCCGTGTCAGGTTAGGTCACAGGTCAGTTTCTGCTTGTTTACAACTTCGCTTCTCTCTGATTCTCTGATGATGTCTTTGAGTCTAGTCTGAACTGACCTCTGAAATATTTCCAGACTTCGCTTCGATTTGATTTTCTAACCTCTTGAACAGGAGGAATCAATCAGTGCCATTGGCGCTGCTCCTGAGCATGCTGCTGATGAGGCGCCCGCTTACTTCCCTTCACAAAATTTGCATTCCGGAAATTCTGAAAGCTAATCGGTGCAGTGCAGTGCAGTTGATGTGCAAACCTCAATTTCAACTTGGAATTGTGATTCAAATTTCAAGTTTCATGTCAGTCAGCCAACTGAATTCCAAGATTCCAAGGCCAAATTCAAAAATCTTTGCCAAACCGAACCCAACTTAACTGTGACTTCGCTCTGGGCTTTGGCTCTGACCCTTTGTGATCGGCTAGGCTAGGTCAGACATGGACATTGACTTGCAAGCTGTGGGCTAGCTAGAAGAGGTACTATTATAGACGGTAGACGGTAGATGTAGCTAGATGACTAGGGACTAGGACTAGGGATGACTAGAGCAGTATCGAGTCATAGAATCACAGAGTCACAGAGTCAGTCATAGACATTGACATCGACATCGACATAGACATGACATGACATAGATATTGAAATTTATATTGTACTACAATATATTATATTTTTATTATATATTATTACTCCTTATACTTATACTTATTTAGTATTAGAGTGTGATTTGTGTGCTTCGTGTTTGTAGTGATGTCACTCTGTCACTCACTCTTTTAAAAATTGAGTCCGAGTGACCGAGCGAATTCTGAGCCATGAATGCGAATTTCGCCCGAAGCTACACTCCGGATCATTCTGATCCTGATCCCAGTGATAGCGACGACAAAGGCGACGAAGGTAACAATAACAATGGTAGCTCTGGCTCTGGTGATCGCGGGGCTGGTGATGAGCCACCTTTGGATGAGAATGAGAAGGACACATCGAGCACCTCTAGCACCACCACTGCTGATGACATGAACATGCTGAATGAGGACCAAGAAGAGACTTGGAATGCGCCTGGTGATCAACACGCTGATGCGCATGCTTGGGATGAAGGCGGAGAAAGTGAAACTGCAGTGGCGCCATCACCGCCCCTGACACTGTCACCTGCTCAGAATATTTTCGAAGAAGAGTTAATGCAGGAGTTGAGGGCAAAACTGGGGATTGCCGAAGTCGAAGGCCAACCTGCACCGTTGGCAAGGCGTCCAGGCGATTCTTCCGATGGAGAGCATGGCCCGGGCGATGACGCGGCCGGGCCTCCCACCAACAGTCCGTCCAACCCCGGGGCTTTGGGTGGCGGCAGCCAGAGCAGTGGTGGCAGTTGCAGTTGTGATTCAGAAGATTCAGATGCTCCTCAGCCCCCACCTGGTGGTACTACCACTGTTGGGAGATCGCTGGATGACAGGTACCAGCACCACTGCAAAGGTTGCGAGGCAATTGGCAGGTGCCCCCACTGCGGCCAGTGCTTGCGCCGCAGGCGTTTGTGATAGTCCGTGATAGTCCAGTATCCCAGCACGCAGCGCTGTTTCTCACAGCAGGAAAAAGTGTGGCTGCACAATCATGCCAGTTGGACAGTAAGTTTTCTTCCAACTTCAATTTCACCTGCACTGGCACTGGCACATGTTGTTGGGCATATGATATGGCCGGCCAGTGGCAGTATTTAATCCTGTGGCAGGGCGCAGTAGCATCGCAAGAGCCTGCACCACCTGTGTATGAAGACGAGGTGCTAGCCAGCTGGCTGCTGTCAGCTGCACTCGCACAATTGTTACATAATTTCCCGCTGTCTGGCCTAGTCTTTTCCGGAGGCTGACTTACAGATTCGTCCTGCTAATGCGGAACCAGAAGCTGCAGCTGCATTTGATTTGGTGCTCTGCTCAGGTAAGTTCTATGGTGCTCAGGGGATACATGTTCGACAGGCAGGTGACCAGGTGGTTTACTTATTTATTGGTTTACCTGACCTTACCTTTTGATGTCTTGGGAAGGACAGTGTTTTATCGGCTTTGTTTGTCTTTATATTTTTAAAGTACCTGGCCAGCCAGCCAGCTAATCAAATCTAGGTAGGGTCTAGACAGACTAGTCTAGAATCCCCACATCTCTTCTCCTCTTCTTTCTGAAGCAACTTGACTTGTGGCAGTTTCAAGATTAGTTTTCTCAGGATTCCACTGGTGCGCCGGGGCCTCTTCAAGCTTCTGAGGACTGAGATTCAATTTAGGCTCTAGACATTCTGTGTCTGCAGTCTACAAGTTGCCAATGTTTGTCTTTATATTTTTTAAAGTACGTAGCCAGCCAGCCAGCTAATCAAATCTAGGTAGGGTCTAGACAGACTAGTCTAGAATCTCCACATCTCTTCTCCTCTTCTTTCTGAAGCGACTTGACTCTTTGTAGCAGTTTCAAGATAAGTTTTCTCAGGATTCCACTGGTGCGCCGGGTCCTCTTCAAGCTGCTGAGGACTGAGATTCAATTTAGGCTCTAGACTAGACATTCTGTGTCTGCAGTCTACAAGTTGCCAATGTTTGTCTTTATATTTTTTTAAAGTACCTAGCCAGCCAGCCAGCTAATCAAATCTAGGTAGGGTCTAGGCAGACTAGTCTAGAATCTCCACATCTCTTCTCCTCTTCTTTCTGAAGCAACTTGACTTGTGGCAGTTTCAAGATTAGTTTTCTCAGGATTCCACTGGTGCGCCGGGGCCTCTTCGAGCTGCTGAGGACTGAGATTCAATTTAGACTCTAGACATTCTGTGTCTGCAGTCTACAAGTTGCCAAAGCCAATCCTAATCATTGTCAAAGCAGTAGACAGTCTGAATCTAAGCCAGGAGTATTAGATGATGAATGATAGATAATCGATGCTTTTGATTATATTATTTAATTAATTGTATATTATTATTAAATTATTATATAGTAATCAATCAATCAATCAATCAATCAATCAATCAATCAATCAATCAATCAATCAATCAATCAATCAATCAACAATCTAACTTAGCCAACAATCTTTCATAACCTTTCACTCAGGAGATGGCGCCATCCAAAGCGGACTATTGCTGCGGTCACTGGGTGGATGCGGCTCTGAATGTTTTGGGAGATCGTTTTGCTTCTGGATGGGAAGATCCTTGGAAAGAGTTTCGGTATGGTTCTGACTGCAGCGGGCTAGATGCGCCATACTGGGCCTTGCAAATGCTGACAAAGGCCGTTGAGGAGAACATTTTCTGCCGGTGTTGTGCCCCAAGTAATTTCAAATTATTTTTGTATAATATTATAGTCTAGTCTAGTATATTTCGGCAACTGATAATTGATATATGATATATACTGACTGACTGACGGACGGACGGACTGACTGACTGACTGTATACTGTATACTGTGTATACTATGTCTGTTCACCATTCATCGGCCAAAATCACAGGCATTCAGATTCATTGCGTAGCCGGACAGTCCAGTCCAGTGTAGACAACACCTCCTAGGTCCTAGCATAATTTCATTTGATGATTTATTTTATTTATTTTGATGATTTTGATGTTTTTCTCGGCCTGGACAGGACAGTGGTGGTGGCAGCGTTTGCTGCCAACATCTATTCGCATCAGAGGCTCCTGGCCCGCAAGGGCTTTGGCAGAAGAGAATGTTGGAAGCCAACCTTTCCCCAGGAGCCATCTACGACGACATGCTGGTTCCTGGGCTGTCTCTTTGTGGAACTTGTCAACTCACCCACTCAGTGACTAGGGGCCTGAGGGCCTGACCTGACTGGTTTTGTGGCTGTGGCACTGCAGGTAAATTATATGAATGTATTACTGTATGACTGTATGACTATGACTATAACTATAACTGTAAATGTAATGTATATTATAAATTATGATTTAATAGTCGGTTAGTTATACGATGTTATACGGATACCGGCCGATACGGTTATGGTACTCGGATACGCTCTGACCAGGCTCGCGGGAGCAAAAGTGGGATTGATTGGAAGACAGGCCAGAAGGCGATCTTGCCGACCGGCCTGCACCTGTATACTGGTGGTTTTGAATGTCAGGACAGTTGGACAGATTGAACTTCAGCTTTGCATCGCTGATGATGGATGCTCCAAAACCAGTGGCCAGTGGGGCTTCATTGGCAGGACCTGTCCACATTGAATGTATCGAGAAAGAAGTTAGACTTGAACATCACTGAAGAGACGCTTCATTGCAGTGGTGCACGCAGAAGTCTACAGTCGTCAGTCAGTCAGTCAGTCAGTCAGTCAGTCAGTCAGTCAGTCTATGATTCTATGATGTACCATTGCCTGTGCCTAGCCTTCCTCTTGCTCAGGTCCGGGCAAAGTTCAAAAACTTTGGACAAGTCTTTGAAATACATTCAAGAAAAACGGCCTGTCTGAGCCTAAGATTTTGATTTTGCGTTTGATGGTGGTTTTGATATTTGTGAATGGCATGGCGCTAGTCACGACTAATCGACTGACTAATAACTAATAACTAATCTGAATCTAATCTAGCTTACTTGTCAATAAGTACAGTCCAGTCAAGTCCGCTTCCTGTTGTCACGTGTTCAGTTCATGTCCCTTTGAAACTAGGTTGGTCATGGTGTAGGTATGGTTTGGCCTCGTCCCTACTCATTGAGCGGCTGAATAGTTGACAGCCGAATCAGTTCAGTTTCTTGAGGCCATGGTCTGCCTTGAGAATGTCGCTCGCAAGGTGACAGCAGAGATTGTGACAGAGCAGCTTCGAAGTGCCGGATACTGGGCAGTCGCCTACTTCATCAACTCCTCATCCTTCGGAATTCCGCAAAGTCGTTGCCGCTTGTATGTTTTGGGAATTGATCCACGACAGTGCGACATTTTAGACCCGCCAGATCAATGGGTGAAGTGGTTGGAGGCCTGTATATTATCAGCTTTCAAGTTTTCAATTTCAAACCATTCCAATGTCATGTATGATTTGCAATCCTGCGTGCTTCCCGATGCAGAATCCGGATTGGCCCGCTTTCTGAATTCTTATGATCTGGCTTTCCAGATTTTGCCGCAGGACATTTCAGCTGAGTGCACCGTCCACAAGCCAGGATTCGGAAGTTTGATGCTGGAGGAAGCGGATTCCTACATCCAAGATGCATTGAGTAAGCTAAGGAAAAGACAGGCAACAGAGGATGAGGTCAAAGAGTCCTTGAAAACAGGCAGAACATGGCCCAAATGTTGGGAAAAGCATGAGGCCGCGAGAAAGCAGTTGAGCGAAAGACTTGGTGTGAAGGCGTAGCGGGTTTTTTTTTCCGGGGTTAAGTTTGGCCTTTTGCCCTTTGGAATCTCAAGCCTTTTTTGTGTGGCTGATTCTTTGGTTGATTGCGCCTAGCCCTACCCACCTACCCTTGACAGCTGATACTGATACTGACACTGACTGACTGATACTGAATCTGGTATTGTTACTGATACTGATACTGTCAATGGCAGTGGGCAACAGATCAGATCAATGATTGTCAATGATCATCTCAGCGCCACGTCCAGCCCGGAGGTTCCCTCTGGGCCAAAGCTTTTCGACGAGTTTGCCAATGACTGGAGCAAGACATTACCGGCTCGTGAGCAAGACATTCTGTATTTGCACCTGTGGGCGAAACTTGTCAAGTTTGGAAGCTTCAGTTTGAGTCACACTTTCAAGTTTAATGGAATGTGTCACCTTCAGTTCACCAAATTTAATCGAATTTCAACTGCTGCAGCCAGTTTATTTTCTTGGAAGTATGCCCAAGAAACTTTGTGTTAGTCACACACACACACAACTTGTGGCTTGTGGTACATTAAGGATGAAACATCAATCTGCTCCGAGTGCAGACGAGCAGGACCATGGCTACATCTGGGATCTTACGAACAATATCACCTTTGGCTGCTGGAAAGGTGAGGACAACAAGGAGAGATTGCCATGCCTCCTGCGTGCCCATCGCCTGTGGCACACGAAGAAGGGACGATTCTCGGCTTTTCCTTTCCACCATGTAAATGCACACTTTCACACCATGCCATGACATGAAAAATGGTTGTTCAGCTCAGACATTCAGCCACTGCCATCGGGGATCATGACTCATGACTCATGACTCATCACTGACAATAAAATTTCCGACGGACACCGAGGCTGTCGGTAAGTTTGTTCTGACTCAGGCGTCATTACTGGACGGGAACTTTTGCGTGGACAAGGCTACCCTAAAACCATCAAGACTGGCGCTGAGGATGGCAGTTGGGTTGTGCCGGACCCTTGGCATACCAGCTCTGTAAGTTTTGAAGTATTGTCTTCCTGCGGATCGATTGCTGTAAGGCTGTAAGTGTCACAAGTGCTGCTGTTAGATCGAATCCTATTTTCATATGATCACCGAGCAAGACTAAGACGCATACTAAGATAAAGAAGATCCAGGTTCAGACTCGGACTCAGACTCTTAGTATTGAGCTGCTTGCTTGGCCTTGGCCTTGCTGTGGGGTTTGCAAAACCAGTCACCAAATTGAATCTCTTCAGGACATTGAGCTGAATAAAATGTCCGGCAACACAATCTCAATCCCTGTTGTGGGGTCCCTCATTGCTGTGATGATGGCAAGCCACTTGGTGTTGATGGCGCTGTGGCAGTGGTGCATGTTTTAAAACCATGTGCCCATGCCACGCGCCTATGATTTATATTATGATTTTCATGCAATGTGATATAGATATATATCTTGATATTGATATTATATATATCATTTCATTACATTTTGTCAATCAGAAGATGATCAATGATCTCATCAGAATCTCATCTCAGATATCAGCAGCAGGAACGACATTTGATTTTGATTTGATCCTCTGTGGTGGGGCACCCAGGCTGCAGGATGAAAGAGAAGAGGATCCAAAGGTCGCCACTGCGGCGGGGTTCCTCGGGCTCTACTGCTGAAGCAGCCCCGAGATGGGTTGGGATGCGGTCGGCTTGCAAGGCCACGCCGCTTGATTTGCTGTGCAAAGCGCCGAGCAAACGGGTTGCTGCTGATGATGAGTCTTCTGAGCATGGGCCCAAATCCAAGCAGCTGAAAATGGATCGGTTTGTGAGCAACAAAAAGTAATGGATCATGGATCCAAAATGCAAAATTCGAACCAATGATACCTTAGGCCCTAGGCGGTATCTTAATCTTCGGCGGTATCTTGACAGCCGGTGTGAAGCCACAGTTTCAAGAATCATTCGATGAACATCAACAGTCTTTTGGTGAAGCGAAGAAGATACACCGACCGTCACCGACCCAATGCAACCAGCAACATGCGAGGGTAAAAATAGTTTGCAGCAGCATGGTTTCAGGGGTGCAAGTGCATATGATTTTGTGGTTTCACATGGGTTGTCCCCCGAAGAAATAAAGACCTGTTTTCTGGCTTTAGCAATTTTGCAAAAACATTAGTTTTTGCAGGTTTTGTTGTTTTACCAATTTCTTGAAATCAATGGTTTTGGTCGGTTTTTGCGTTTTAACAGTTTCTCAGAATCAGCGTTTTTGTTGGTTTTCTTCGTTTTGGCTTATCTCCGTACAACTTTCAGACACAGGCCTAAAGGGATTTCTTAAGTTATAATCCCATTTATAGCTGTTAGTTGGGCCATCACTGTAATCCAATTTGTTTGTTTCTAGGGCCTCCTGGGTCTGTCGTCTTTTGGCATTGTTTTACCCACATTATGTGGTTTTCCCCAAAAACAAATCGAAATATGGCTGAACTATTCACTATTATGGCTATGAGTCAAAACCCGGGGGTACCTTTGGTACCCGAAAATAGATGGTTTATGGATATTTATTCCCCTAGTCATATTGTAATAATAGATATAACAGGTTTTGGCCCCACATACCCTCTGGTAAACTAACATAACTATGGAAAATCACCATTTTTAATGGGTAAATCAACTATAAATCACAACTTTCAATAGCTATGTTTGTTTACCAGGGTATATTTGATCGTGTTTCACTTTCTACATTTATTCAACTAATCTATCAAACGTTTCCCCCAAAAAGATCGACAGATTGGAACCGTTCCCTACTATGGCTAGATATCTTTGATACCCTCTGATCAACTAACCATAGGAAAACCATAGGAAAATGGTGGTTTAAAGAGTTTTTATGGTGGTTTAATGGGATTTAATGGGACTTACCTTCTGATCAACGAACATTTTGTGAACTGGAAAATCACCATGCTTCATGGGTAAATCAACTATTTCTATGGCCATTTCCAATAGCAAACTGTAAACGTTTACCAGAGGGTAACCACCGTACGCGGATTGATGCCCGCCAGCAACCCTTGCCGACTGGCGTGCTGATTCCCTGTGTGGGAGCACCTACCTCGTCGGGGCCCTGGTGTGGGGTGGAGATTGAACCACAAAATATGAGGGTTTCCTAAAATAGGGGTACCCCTAAATCATCCATATGAGGGTTTCCTAAAATAGGGGTACCCCTAAATCATCCATATGAGGGTTTCCTAAAATAGGGGTACCCCTAAATCATCCATATGAGGGTTTCCTAAAATAGGGGTACCCCTAAATCATCCATATGAGGGTTTCCTGAAATAGGGGTACCCCTAAATCATCCATATGAGGGGTTCCTAAAATAGGGGTACCCCTAAATCATCCATATGAGGGTTTCCTAAAATAGGGGTACCCCTAAATCATCCATTTTAATTTGATTTTCCATTATAAACAATCCATTTGCGAGTATCCACCATTTTAGGACACTCCCATATGGGTTTAACCGGCAAAGTATTGTCGATATAATGGGTATAGTCATGGTCATTGTTGATCTGTCATGTGGAGAACCATGGTGGTGTTCCATAGCAAACTCTTGGATTACCGGAGCCGGAGGATTTTTTTTATTTTTATCTAAAAGAAATGTGGATTTCGGTGGATTTTCTCTGGAAAAATCTGTATCTATAAGCAAATGGTCGTAGTTCCCACATCAGGAATAAGCCCCCGAAACGGTATGGACTCCCCAACTACTTACCATTTGCAATTAAGTCGATTAGTCATATCGTTGCTACATTTTTGGTTCAGACTCTATTCCTACTACCACCCCGCCCCAAAAAAATGCCTTAAAACGGAAGACCAGACTTTTGTGGGTCCAAATAGGTATCCAAATGTTGAGCGTGTCCAAAGAAAAAGTATACCTCAAATTTGCAATTCACATGAAACACCATCAGACAAACGCTTATGAGCAGTGTCAAACTCCTTTTGGAAAATTTCCTTCAATGGTTGGGTAGTGGGAATTCCTTGTTCAAGGCCAGCATATCTTCATAAAAATCACGAAGCAATACAAAAGCATTGTAAATCATTTAAACATCAGGATAAATCATGGTTAATCCTCTAGAAAACATGCAATTTTTCCATGGAATTTTCATCGGTTCCAGCCGCTCGAAGGGTGGATGAGCTCACCTTCAATCGCGCCAAACTGTCCACCACAGGACGTCTCTTGAGGCCATCTGCCAGGGCTCGAAGTGTGAAAATTTACCGGCGGCTAATGTGTAGCTTTCTATATTGTGTATGTATATATATATGTGTGTGTGTCTATATACATATATGTCTATATATATATATATATGTATGTATACATGCATGTTTGGATATATATATATATATGTAAGCGGAATAGGTATGCAAACAGGATTGGAAATGATGCATTTATGCATGGAACCTCGAACACCCAGAAATAAATCAGTGTTTTGTTCTGGTAGTGAAGATTCCCTTAATAACGCATGTTTGTGAAACGACGTTTGTTTTATGGATCTTTGGGTTTCCAAGTGGATATGTGTAACTTTATTATGTTATCTAATTGCCAAAGTGAATGAGCAGAAGGGATGTTCAACAGATTATATTTTGGTCACCCATCACTAGATATTCCTGGCTTGCTCGGAGTTTGGTGGAGCCTAGTTCTGAAGTTGCCCCTCGTGTCGGAGAGTCACGCCAGCTGCTGCGTGTGTTTTTCCCCGATTCTTGTTGTGAATGGGTCACTTTCATGGCTATTTTGTTCAAGCTTAGAACATCCTTGATGTGGCACATGAAACCATGCGTAAGCCTTATCGATAAATCTGTTCCATGTGCATGTCTTCATCAATCAGCATGACAACAATGGCCTGCTAGCTAGAACAAGCTCATGAAACTGCCAACGACTGAACATTCATGCCCAGATGTTATTCACTCTGGGATTTTTCTGAACTGCAGCTAGAAGTATCAGCTTTAAAAAGGTACCATCCATGGCACCATGGCCACAAGCGCTACGCCGCTACGGTGTCTTGCTGCTGCTGTCCTACGGCCTGCCCCGCGCGTTCTTCGCCTCCGGAGCCTGGCGTTCGGCCCTGCCGGAGGATGGGCGGAGTGCAACGGAGGTGGTGCGATTGCAGCTGACAGCCCTGCAGGAAAACAACCCCGAGACCCGGCGGAGGAGAACCGGAACTCCGGATGATCCGAAGAAATGTTTGATACAGGATGGGGCCCGCGTTAGCGTTCAGTTGCCTGAAAAAAGTGGCTGAACTCCAGGTTTATGGTAGATATTAACGAACTAGTATTCATGGGGGTTATAAAGGCAACATTCACACACTCTGGTAATTTAACATAGCTATTGAAAAATGGTGATTTGTAGTGGATTTACCCATTGAACATGGTCATTTTCAATAGCTATGTTAGTTTACCAGAGGGTAACTGGGGGGCACCATCCTGAAGGGTAATATTCTTAGGATGGGTGGCCCAGGAAAACGACGATGGGATTGCCAAGACCTTCGACTTCGCGTCCACCCGAAACAAAGCGGTGACGGGACCCCTACCCCGATTCGCTCACATGATCCATGCAGGTTACCTGGTGATTTCATGATATCTCATGGGGGTAAACCATGAAAAAGGGTGATAGAACTACTTTTGCATTTGATATTTGATGGGATTTTATGGAAAAACTAGAAGAATGTATACTGTACACCTGGATTTGCTTGCTGAGTCAATCATTTTGGGCATATTTTCCCATTGAGATGTCCACTACGACTTGGGAATCCTTTTTGGGGAACCTGTTCCATTTTTGGACGGTTCCTTAAGCATATCCAAGGTTATCCTGTGCTCTTGAATGCTCAAAACTTCACGTTGCTCTCAGCACTGCAGCTGGGTCCAACGGAGTATGCAGTGCGAGTTGAAATCCTTGGAAATCTGCGGATGGGCAGTCAGAAAGGCATCTCGCTTGGCTTTCAGAATGCAATGACTGGTTGGTGGTTTCAAACATTTTTTATGTTCCATAATATATGGGACAATCCTTCCCATTGACTAATATTTTTCAAGATTGTTAAAACCACCAAGCAGATGAT